TTCATAAACATGTAATTACATTTTTTTTCCCCACTTCGCCTATAAGATTCATTCGGTTATAAGACTCACTTTGTGTTATACTTCGTTGGTCTCAACTATTAAAGTATACCTACTAATTTTATTTTTCAGACTTTCAGGTATTAGTGTTAATGTGTTATATTACTATAATGCGTTAGAAGACTGAAGTTAAAAGAAATAACAAAATCGTGATTGAAATACTTTTATAATACTGAAAGTAGTTATGAAATTAAACCTACTTATAAGTATAAAAGTAGTTTTGAAATAGGTAAATCGAAAAACGAAATTCGAGCTTAGCGAGCTAAAAATGTTTGGTAGGTGGCCTGGATAAATATTAAGCTCCCGGCCTGGATTTGGTTCCCACTCCGCCCCTGAATTTGTACGTAGTATACTAGTCAGTTATCAGGGATGGGCAAGATACTCAAAAATCGGTATCGCAATATACTAGGTACAAAATACTTGGATTTGAAGTGTCAAAATACTAGATACTCGATACTTACATTTTAAGTGTTAAGATACTCGATACCCCGATACCCGATACTCAAAATAAAATTAGTCGTAGGTATTTTTAAAATTGTATTTATACACAATCGGGTACATTTATTAAGTAATTAATGTAGACCACTTAATAATTTAATAATAATATTCTATAACCCAATTAATTATTATTCATGTACATAATTATTTAGATAGTTATAAACTACATAGGCAATAAGTACTTATCTTTAGTACCTATCTAATAATCGTATCGTGTTCATTACATACATTTTCCCCGTCATCGGTCAGGCGAAAGTAGACTATACACTATACAGTATATATGTACTATACTAATCTACTAATGCACTATATGCACTATGTACTATGTCGTACATATAGTCATTTAGGTACCTACAGTTAAGTTCAAAATGTATGTGTGGTGTCGGTGTGTCACAGTCCACAGATATAACTAAATATGGCTAATGGGTTGAAAAATAATTTCCTAAAAGTTGTAGCTTATATAGCTTTCGAAAAATCACCTGTGACTACGTATGTGTGTTCGCAAAATAAAACTAATACTAAAAATCAGATTAGTTTATAATTTGAAAATAATTAATACTGCAATTAAATTATGGAAAATATAAATTTTAATTTGCTGTACCTTTTACACATATTTTACTAAAACATATAGTCGAATAGTCGTGGTTAGTATGTACTACTAAGTACTAGATAGGCGAGTGAAAATAATTGTAAGCAATTAATTTTTCAAAATATCGCATTAATGCATCGACTATTGAGTATCTTTCGATTAAATTATTTTATGAATTTTCAGTCAATATATCGAGATATGAGATATAATTGTACCTATCTAAGATACTGCCCAACCCAGTATACTAATATGTATACTTTTCACTCTGAAAACTATGGAATAGCTGCTGTTGTATATGGATATACAACAGTATAAATCATAGCTCATAAGTGTATAGAATATTTTGTACAATTTATTTGTATTTTACATAGTACCTACCTTTAATTAAGATATTGGATATTTATTGCAAAACTATAAAATATACCTAGTTATTGGCTATTTCTAACTTAATTATACAGTGAAGTAGTTAACACTGCACATTACGACACTTTCTAATATTTGTATAATTGTATACTTATGATTACGATTACCCACCAATGTTAGGGAGTACCCCACCCCTTAAAATGGTATGGCGGTCGCCACACCTATAATACATGGGTTCGACGCCACTGCCGCTGCCAGATCTTCAGAGGTTTGCGTAAATGCGCTTATATAGTATATTATGTACCTATTTATTATAATTGGGTAGTAAACCTGATGGCTTAACGATGGCACTATATCGGGCATTCGGATCATCAGAAATTAATAAAAAAAATATGTTTTGAGGTAGTAGTGTTTCGAGCTTAAAGATTTTATGCTATATTGAAAACATATAATCAAAAAGTATTTTGCATCTAGCAATTTGGATAAAATCACGTCGTACATAGTACATTGAAATGGTAAATTTCCACAAACTACGCCTGACCTGACGAAAAGTTGCAAATTATTTTGTAGTTAAAAAACATCGAATGGTGCATTTCAAAATAAATATACCTACCTAAAGCTAGAAAATATAAGACAATTATAATTACAGCTTTCAAGTAGGTATATTTAAAATTCTCATTATTTTTTTCATTAATTTAAGACATAACAACGTCATAATAGACATGATTGGCAGATGAGCTCAAATAGTTTTTTTCGCATGTAAATATCAATGTAATTAATGTTATGCCACTTTATTCTGACCTGAGTAAAGTAAACAACTGAGTTATTTTGTACCTACATACTCTTGTAATTCAGCCATTTAGGTACTTGTTCATAATTATTTTCTTTAATCCTGTAGCCAGTAGGCAAGAGTACATGAATAATGAATTTTATTGTAGTTTGAAATGGACAATATAATATTAATTTAATATTTGTATGTATATTATAGATATATTTATATATTTTTAATACAATGATACAATTATTAGCAATGATTACCGAGTCACCATAGTTCGCAATTACCGTTGGCGTGATTATACATCGTTTCGGCAAAGCACAATATTGCTGGGTTGCGTGAGTTTTACCTTTTTAGGAACACGTTGTCCATACACAATTGCGTATGTTTTTCTAAAAAATAATGTTCTATAAAATCCAAATACAGTGGTATACGAAAAATAAAATAATTATGGTCGTTGATGATCGCTTCCCATTTAAAAAATGGAAATCGTCTATGAAATCGTCATAATTTAATATGAACGATACAACCACGGTATTATAATATTGCCAGTGAATTGAAAGTCGACAGTAATGTTGGCAGTCTGTCTGCCGAGTAAGATAGCCCTGACGGCTGACGGTACCGAGGGCGACTGCAGTGAAGCACTAATGCACCTCGTGATACGGCATCGACAGAGGTAAACGGAAAATTGGTACGATTATTGTGATTTGCACAAAACAGATAAAATAGGCAGAATATTGGTACTATTAAATATATTATTTTCAGTGGTTCAAAAAATAAAATAAAAATAAATAAATGTCCAAAAATATATATGTCTACCTATATGTATAAATATATATTATGTGTCAAAAATTAACACGTAGTTACAATAAAAATAGTTCACAATGATGTCCGTCAACTCTTGCCGCCGCGGTTGCTGTTCAGTACGGCCGCGCGTCGTTATCGTCGTCGTTGTCGCCGCAACGGCCATTAGTGCGTGACACAGGGCAACTTGTTTCCCTGATCAGGGGTGGCTTTTGATTTTTTATCTCTTGGTCACACACAATAGCTGTTGGTAGTAATCCAGCGTCAAATATACATTTAATACTTTCTTTTATTAAAATATTAAAATGATTCTCATTAACACCGTTATTAGGCAAAAAATAACATAATTGTAATTTCCAATTTTTGTGCAGTGCTCTAACCATAATGACCAGTGCATGTGTAGCTAATTTTGGTGTCGACCTAGGGGACCCAAGTCTTCAAAAACTTCTAAATAATCTAGTGATTTATTATACTCAATGCCTGTCATTATAGATCTCATCGTGTAAATTAATACATTTTTTATCACATTTAGACATTTCTGACACTTTCAATTTTATATGATATAAGACATAAGTACTCTTTACTAAAACCAGGAAGAAAATGTATAGATTTTAACCATCGGCGCACGGTACTTTCACCAGGTACAACTATACCAATTTTTCGCAAATATTTATACTTCGAAGGTGATTTATACTTTATAGTACAACGACAATGCAAGTTTTTTTTCTGCATTAGACCAAGGTTTGCGATTTTCTTGTAGCATTTGTATTGTCATAAGAGTTTTCGAATTGTTGGAAGGAAATTATGACTGGTTAAAAAATTGTTGAATTTTTATATTCTTAGTAATATTTTTGTTGTTTTGTTTTCTTAAATACTGAATTACAGTGAGTTTTCGTTTTAATTGTCTTCTCATATTATTTAATTTTTCTTGAAGCATTCGATTTTTTTAATGATTTTTGATGGATTTTTTAAAGAATTGATAATTTTGGACTTTTTAATAGGACTTGGTAAGTAAGTTCTTATACATAGGATTTTGTATTTAGTGTGAATTCTAACTCTGGGCTATCATTGAATATTAATTCTGAATTGGATAGCGAATTATTCCTGTCCGATATTTACGTTTTGGCGTCAGTACATTTAGTATTTCTGGCGTAGGTGTATAACAGTTTTGAGAAAAAGTATCTACAAAAATAAATAAATATTGATGTACGTATTTTATAATTAATTATCAGTAAATAGTATATAGTAAATAGTTATTATTTAATAAAATAATATTTTATTATTATATATTATACTAATTAATATATATTAAAAATATTTTTGATTCTGAACGGAGAAAAATGTATTGATGTTTTGACGAAAAACAAATGTTTACCGGAAAGTCACATAATGTTTGTATGATTGTTTAAAGTTAAAATTTTGAAGTTATTGGAAAAATATTCGTAAGTAGGCTTACCATTTTTTCATAATCGATTTCAGTTACTTTATTGTAATTCAAAAACATTATTCACAAGGGCTTAAAACTTATAAATATATAATAAAGCTGGCACATATTTAATTTATACTTAAATTAAGAATTAAATCTTCTTAATATTGAATGCTGACAATTATTTAAATCCTTTACAGTTATAACATTTTTGTTTTAAATTTTCAGTCCTAGGCTAAAAAAGTTGAACATTTTAAGAATTTCTGTCTCAAAATATTTGCGCATTTTCGCTCCACTCAGAAATAAATTTTTTACTTGATCGACAAATAACAATATTTCAAAATAAAAAAAATAAAATAATAGGTACTTAGGTATAACGATATCGTGTTATCATAATAAAATAGTTACTGGTATACGTATACATGTGTGGTCAATATAATAATAATGTAGTTACCGCGGACGAAGGATTAGTTGCTTTCATGCAACTCCTATACCATACGATATTCATTTCGAATCGACTTCAACGTCACCTCGTATAATTTATTGAAGTCATCGACGTCAACACTTTTGCTTCGCTTATAGACCTTTGTATTGTAATTCACACGGCTTGTCCGGTTTGCAACAAGCAGAACGTAAGCATCGACGGTCATCTCGAAGTTGTGCATCACCTTTTCTTTCGTCGTGAACATTCCGAATACCAGCTTCGAAATTTTTCGGCAGATCCTGTACACTAAATGGAGTGTCAGGTGACCCTTGGCTGGGCCACTTGACGGCAACACCGCTTTAACACGCTCTTCATACTCGTTCACCTTGCTGGTCGAAACAAAGTGCGCTGTCTTTTGGTGTGCGTGCTCCAAGAATAACCGAACTAGGTTGTCGACTTTCTAGAACAACAATACTGGATAAGACAACAGTACGACAAGCACGGGACATGAAAGATAGAAAGATCTGCTTCCGTAACCCATAAAAAAACCATTTTTTTTTAAATATAGCCATTAACGTTTTTGTAAATATAGGTACTTAGTTCAAACAAAAATATTTTTTTTTAAATTAATTATATTTAGTTGGCATGGTTATTTTTTCTCATAAAAAGACAAAATATTTTTTTTTTTAAACTTGTCACTAAATATTATTTCAAACGCAATATTTGATTGTTTTATTTACAACAGTCCAAAATTGAATCATACTGCTAATTTGAAAATACAAACTTCTATTGATTATAGTTGCTGGTTAAAATGTACTCCAATTATAGGTACTTCTACATTATATTTTTTAGAGGTACAATAGGTACATATATTGTATACAATATTAATATATAATTACTAATAAAAAGGCTTACACATTTATTGAATTTTGCCTTTTACAACTTGATTACAATGTATGTTCTAGCAAAAATTATCAAAACATATTATATAGGTATAGTAAAACTTGCTAAGACGCTCCCGTTTAAGACGCGGTTTTCAGCCGATCTTTAGACATTTCCTATAGGTACTGGCTATACTATAGTAAGTAAATGTAAAAACCACCTGTTAAGATACTTGGTTTTTCTTTATCTAATCGGATAAGACGCCCTTATGATCGGCAGATGCCAGATGATGATAAATCTCTATAAAAATTGATAATTTAAGCGAATTTTACTGCAATATATGATGTATATATTCGTATTTAGAATAGGTACAATAAAAAAAATGTCCACTTCTACTAATGGATTTCACGTAAACTTTAAAAACTGAAAATACCCTCAGATGTTTTGATTTTTTTTCTCCATTATACCCTTTCACAAATACCAGTGAGATGTCAGTAACTCTCAAGATGTTTTGGTAACCGTTGACGGTACTAAAAATATCATAGTTACCTCGTCCAGTTCCGTACGCCCCTTTATTGGGAACCTTGTTGTAGACATTTTCGTCTCTTGAAAGTTTTCCTCCAGAAACTTCTTGAACCTATCTTCAGCTGTTTCTGAAATCTGAGCTACATAACGCGGCTCGTCGTCCAGTGGCTTGTCGAACCGGCTGTAAACATCATCGTTGCTGATCATTTCAAAAATAAAATACGTAACTTCGCTCATTTTCTTGGATTTGATCAATTTGGTGGGAATCACATCTTTCTCGTTCACGTGTTGAAGCCGGTCAATGGTTTTACGCATGTCGACAAACATTTTCTCTGAAAAAAGTAATCATAATCGCATAAAATATAAACGTTGCTTATTCGTTTCAGAGGTTATAATACAAAATACGAAACGTATTATTATATAACATATAATTACGAAAATCGGAATTTAATTCTAGAGAAATATTTCACGGTGTCGTAGAGTCACCCAGGGAAAATTATCATAAGGGTCCGGACTATAGTGTCTTATAGATATTGCTAAAACAATATATTATACTAAAAAAACTAATCTCAGCACTTAATACAGAAACAATACCTGGGAATCCCCAAAGAAGACTTAAGAGGAGATGGTGCCGTGACTTTACTCTTAATCGGAAAAAAAAAAATCTAACAATTTTACTAAATCAATGTTAAGTGTAGCCGCTGGGTTGCTTCTATTTTCATGTCATACTTAATTCTAGCTTATATTCTTAATGTAAAAAATTAATTTACAGATTGTATATATACTAATTAAAAAATGAAAAAATAAAAATAAAAATACCAAAAAAATGGTATTGTCCAGGAACAAAATGTTATTTGAATTATATTTATATAAACTGTACTATCAACTTGGCAAAGAACGAAGAGTAAAAAGCTGCTGGTAATAAGTGGATGTCGCTCTGCTGTACATTAGGTGTCTAGAAGGTCGCTGTAATGGATGGTATTAAATTTTAATTCAATGATATCATATCATTGTATACGAAAAACGATTCTGAGCGGAACGGTATGTCATTCTAGGATATATTATATTGTTATTACTTATTATTGATCTGATAGCCGATAAGTTCAATTAATATTATTCTTAAATTATCAGTGATGCTGGAAAAAAAAAATATAATTATGTAAAATTGAGCTGTTTTGGAACCGAATTACAACAAAATGATAAACGTTTATTATTCTTAGTGCTAAATGTAATCTTATCCAAATTTGAACTTAAAATGTCTGTAAAAAATAAATGTATTCATATATTTTTTAGATTTTATAGTTACGGAAAAAACAGCTTAAGTGGACCTCGTTTTAAATTTTCAATCCATAGCAATAAAAATTGAAAATTGTGTACATTTATTTAACTACAAAGTTATTTTTAATTTCAATTTGATAAATATTGTCAAAATTTGAACTTTAAATGCTTATAAAAAAGAATCGCGTAAAAAGAATTTCAAATATGTTTAATTGCTATTGTAACAAGTTATCAAGGGTCTTGTATTACATTAAAAAAAGAAACACACTGTAAAGCTGACTGGATGAAATAGAACAGTTATTTAAAAAATAAAATATATATAAGGGACAGAGTTACAGTGTTTTATAGCTAATGAAAATACGAAGCAGAACTACCTATATTATTATTATATTAAAATAATAAGAAGTGGAATTTTCCGATTATATAGCCCTCTGCACGAAACACTCGTCATGAATAAAAAGAAAACAATTGTGTTTCACAATTTTCTAATACATTTCCCCGTAGTAACGAGCAGCTTGCATTTACTTTTTAATTAAAGCGATTATTATAGCTACAAATCGTCAACGATTATTAATTCCGGAACTAAAGGTTAGTACAATGTATGTTATAATTTATAATATTGTATGTAATGCGTAAAATGCCCTTACACGCTCTTACACTCACCGGCAATTTTCTTTTTTGTGAATTCGAATACAGCCCTCTCCGCGAGACTGGTCACAAAATAATCAACGTTGTTTTTAACGTCAGCCTCGTATTCGGTCACACGCCTGATCAGATTTATGATATCGACCGCGGACGCTCCCGGTTTTGATAGCAATTTGGCCCTTTCTATCATTTCAAACATCAATGCATCTGATAAACAGTAGTCCACATCTACAACAAAAAAAACGTCCAATTTAATACTAACGTGGAAACATTCAAACATGTCAACAATTATAATTATTATAGAAGGTACACGATGTACCTATATTTTATACATGAGTAATATTATACACGAATTATGAAAAACGGTAATTACAGAGTATATTTTAACTTACAAAATAAGTGACATGAGGTATTAGGTATTAGGAACCCTAGGTATCTGAGAAAGGAATTTGGCTTAGTCTTTAAGGCGTATAGTGATAGTGCCACGCATTAAAAATTTCTTAAAATATGCTCTAGGTACTCAGAATATATATATAATTATAGTTAAATTTAGTAACTACTTACCACCTGGAGCAGTCAAACGACCATATTGTTTATTTTAACTGCTTTTAGGTACTCTTTATATATTATAACCATTGTTATCATAACAATAATAATACGATACCGTTCATCATAATCTGCTGCATCAACGACGGTGGGTGGCTATCGTCCGCCAAATCGAATAGGTGACGTCGAGTTTTTTCTTCCACTTGAACTTTGGGAACTGACAGTTCCGATTCGTCACTCATCGATGCCTCCACAATGTTGGCTTGCAGACACTTTGTCATTTTATTCCAAAGTGGCGCCGTCTTATTCCAGAATGCTGCATCCAGATCGCATTTAGTGGAGTTTATTCTCAAATTCTCAATGCGTTGTATAAACGTGAGGTTCATATCCACAGATTTCGATTTCTACAGTACGAACGATAAAACTCGAATATATAAACACAACACCAGTGTAACAGTGATAAAGTTACATAAAAATATTATATTACATGATTATTAAAAAAGATTAATGAGTTGTTATAACTAATAGATAATAAGAAGTAAAGTATTTCAAATGGAATTGACAAGATGGCACTTATTGCTGTGGTAGAACAGTATTATACTGGTCTACTATAACAGTTTATCACGGTGTCTCACCAGGGCCGGCTTTACACAATTTTGTCGGGGGGGTGTGAGATCAAGTATTGCCGACTCAAATTTAATTTATGCCGACACAAAGTTTCTAAAAAAAAAAATAGGTGAAGTATAAAAATTCCTGGTTTTTCTGAAGTAGGTAAAATAGTTAAAACAAAAACAAAATATAGAACTAAAACATTTTAAACCATTTTATGCATAGTTAAAATATTTATTACTTGTATTTTATACAGATGTAAAGATACAATAGGCAGTCAGAACTATTATAAGATCTAAAAAATAAGTCGTGTACGAATATAAATCAACCAGTTTTTGTCAATAACTCAAAAAATTAAGTAAAAAATAAAAAAAATTTTTAATTTAGCAGACGGCAGATGGCAGTACATCATATTATTTAACAAAATAGATTATATACGGGTACTTGAGATAGGGGTTGCCGAATGCCGATTAGCGATGGCAATGATATTCCGACGGACTTATCGTTGTACAATGTACAAAAACAAATATATATTATAGTATTATAATACGGGTCCATACTCCTTAGCCGACAATTATATCAGTCGGCAGTATTTAGATTTCTAAATCGATAAATTCTCAACTGCCGACTGCTGGGACCCGTTCCTAAATTTAATATATATATATTTTTTTTTTCAAAAAGTAAAATTTCCAACGGACAACGGCTCCCTGAAATTGCCGACTGGTAATTACAAACAAATTTAACAGGGGGGGTGTGACGACCCACCATACCCACATTGCCGCCGGCCCCGTGTCTCACACTACTCAAGTAAATACGGAAAAAAGAGAATAATTATTAAAGAAGAAATATAGTTCAATAATGATTCAATAAATTTAACGTTCAATAAAGTGTAATCAAGTATAATTATTGGGTAGTAGTTATCCATATAGAAAAAATAGTGAAAATAAAATAATAATTTTATATGAAAATGTGAAAATTTAACCTTTGAAATCTTATAGGCAAACAAATATTTAAAATTTCTTTTTTTAGAAACGTGTTGAAAATACGATTTTTTTCAATTTTATAATTTTTTGAAATTAATTAATTAAAAAATATATATGATGTGAATATTGTTTACTGTTATGTATATCATAATAGTCAGTGTTTGGAAAAAACATCGTTCATGAACGCAGGTTCACACGTTCACGCTCAAATTTAGTGAACGATACGCGAACGTAACTCGTTAGTCGTTATTTTTCAAATTGAACTTGAACGTGAACGGCGTTTCGATTTTAATGAATTTAAACTAATTTTAAGACTCTCAATTTATCAAATAACATTTAATAAAACATATAGGTGTATTGCTTAATTATATTATATAATAATATATTTTATACTGCATATCACTCACTGGAATGTAGACACAATTATCCAAAGATTCTTCTTCCGTTTCTATATCATCATTTCCATTACTACCTATTTCGTCGATTACCTCCTCTTCTTCCACTGATAATTGTTTGTTTTCTACACATCTCTCTGTCAATGACTTGTTGATTTCCATCATCCGTAGTTGACTGTCATATTTGGCCCAATACTGGTTTAATTCTTTATCATGTTTCGTAACTAATGCAGAATGTTTAAGATTTTGTATATTTTCCACTGTTTTTCGATCTCTATTTTTTATTTTATTTTTCAGCTCCAAAATTCTATAAAATGCTAAGTCTTTCAACTCAGTTATCCGAAGTTTCGTTTTATTTGATTTATTTTTATTTTTAGCAATTTTTACAATTTGTTCATTCTCCCGTTGATTTTTGAAATTTTGAATATGTTCTTCGCGTAATTTTAATTTTGACCTTAAAAGTCTTTGTTTGGATTCAAATTGCCGCTTGATTATCGCTTTCCGCTTATCCGCATTTGTTAAAAACACATTACCATAGTCCATTTCAAGAATCTTAGAAAATTTAAATTTGTTAATTTTTTGTAGAATTTAGATAATTTATAATCAAGTTTCTCAAATATGAAGTAAATAAATGTAAGATTTAGTTTTGTTAAAGCTGAATAATGTTTTATTATAAATAACTGTTGCTATGCGTCGCAACCATTTGTCAATAGACTCACGAAGCTACTTATCAAAACAATATAATTTGTTTTGAACAGGAATTTTTTAATTTTTAAAATGAAACACTGGCAGTTATACATTTATTGGTGAAAAAGCCGAGTAATCGTTCAACTCCTTATGTAGTAGATTTAGCCAAAACACAATGAAATTATAATTTATTAAAATTAAAATACCTAATTATGAAAACGGTGTAGTGTGAAAAGTTGTAAAGCATAATTAAATGAAAAAGTTTCAAGAAAAACTAATATTAAACCACGACCAACGTTTAAGAATTTGTATAGGTGTCATAAAAAAGAGGCTGATAATTTGGAACTTTTAAATGAAAGAAGCTATTTAAATATGGAAGGTAAAAGGAGAAAAAAGATGTACATACAATTAGACGAAAGAATTTTAAAAAACATTAGTAGTGTATGAAATAGCTAGATAACTATTTAGTTAAATGCTTAAAAAAATAGCTACTATTCAAAAATTATAATAAGGTTATGTTTATTAGTTTATTGGTAATATGTGTAAGTATTAGTATTATGTGGTAACAATTAAATTATTGTCTATCACTACTGGTATATGGTGTGTAATTGAGTATCCGTAGTGGCGTAGTGATAGATCTGTACCAAACGGGGGAATGTGAGAGGATTTAGATGTTCGACAAGACAACTACCTAGTTATACCGAGTATAATTTAACGTATATTTTAGAATGTAAAACAAAATGTAATATAAAATATTTTACTTTACCGATGATCTGGCAGCAACAATACACGGAGCAAGTGGTGAAACGAGACTAGTTTGGCTGACGAATGCCTAGCAGGCCGAACGATTATTATAAATTGTGTTTACTATACAAAATAGTTATACATATATATAGCTTTACTCCGTGATATACAGAATGATGAAAGATGACACGCGTGTCTATGATATATGTATAGTATTTAATACTATACGTAATATTATAATTATAAAAATATGAAAACTGTAATAGTGTTCTATACCATTACAGTATTATATGTTTATATGTAATCTGATCGAAAACTGTATTATTATTATGTCAATTTTTTATAATAATTGTAACACGGTTTAAAAAAAAATGAGTACCCTATTATGCAATGCGATTACAAATATATTATTATTATATGAATTATTTATAATAATAATAATAAACAATACGCTTTTAAACACGCCAGTAAAAAATACTGACAGTCTTAAGCCTGGAAAAGTGTGAAGGGAAGTTTAAATATAACTCAATAGTAAATATATACCTATTAGCACAAATCAAGTATACAATACATTTGTATATATTATATATAGCATCCAAATTTTATAGTCGGGCAAATAAAAATAAATTGACCACAAATATCCTGACCGCATCGGTGACGACACTAGTGGCGGCGCGAACTTTTTGTGTCTTTGAAGTAAATTGTAAATTTTTAAATTTTTAATATTTTTTCCATCGACCATCCCTTTTATTACATCAAAATGATAATTTACGATGTTGAAGCTATGAAGCAATTGCTTCAAAGAGTATTATATATTTATATCCCGCCGCCACTGGCGGACACCCTCTGCTGGCCTGTCTGTAGCTATATAGAAGAACAATAAAAAAGTGGCGTTTTACGCACACACAATAATATAATAGTAATTTAGCGATTAGCGCCTACAAAACAACTATAATTTTAGCGATTAGCGCACACTGAATAATACAATTTGGTGACTCGCGCCCACTAATACAAAATAAAAAATAAAATATGACGGCGATTTGAGCACAATTATTCCGCTATGGCTATAATACACGCTTATACACGGAACGGACTAAAGAAAAATTCTGCGGCGACTTACGTTAATCGGTGCTCCGTAGCGGCATAATCTACATATTATACAATTCCTAATACACACGATAACATAATATAAAATACAAATATAAAATTAATATAATTCACCCATTAAGTCACCATTAAGTCGGTTGGTGGCGTGTGATTATCAGTGATTATTAATATTGTTGCTTTTCGGGCCGCAACAAGATGTAATTTCAATAATATCAACAACTTGCAACTTTTTTGCAATTTCTTTTTATCCGAGTTTTTGTGAATTTTTAGTTTCAATGATTTTTGATGTTTTTGGTTAGACGAATTGAATTGTAAGCTTGATGACAAATTTTCATTTTCTAAATTATCGTTTTTTTTTTTTGTGATGAAAACCATAAAACGGTTATTACTATTATTCGTTGAGTTTTGTTATCAAAAAACAAAAAGCTAATATCTGAAGAAAAATTAATAGTATCTTCTATATACACTCTCCTGGAGATTCTGATGATTTACTATGAATGGTCTTGCAACTGTATTTGCAATTGAATATAAAACTTTATCATTTTGTGAAAAATCTTTTAAATTTAAATGTTCACCAAACATTTTCAACAAACACTGCTATGCACTCAAATCTTCAAAAAATCTTAAAAATATTATCAATCACAGTATTATCACCATTCTTTGTAATACTTTCAATTTTTTCGAAGTCACCTTCATCACTATTTCCTTCATTTTTTCGCTATTTTATTTATTAGACATGACTCTGGTCGTGTTGCAGAATTTTTATCAAATATTATGCCCGTGAATATAAAAAAATTGATAAAAAATATAATAATTATTATAACTATAGTAGGTAGTATAATTTATACTGTATAAAACTCTTCTGTAATCAAATTAGTAGCAAAGGAACTTCTTTTTCTGAGTGACATCGCTACATAGAATCTAGACTGTTAACACATTGCTTAGTGTCCACAGTTTTTTATCCTAAATTATTGAAAATATTGAATCTGGTTCTCAAATAGACGTCTTAATCACCACTTAAAAAAAACATTTGATACGGTCAACTACGAGCTACTGTAACGATGGTGACATCGTCACTTATACTTTGTCACCTATATACGTATAGCCTACATATATACATGTACATATATATTATTATATACCTTATAAACATAATATATAGAATATGCTGACTAAATATATTGAGCCCCTCCTGTTATGATATCATTGTAAGGCTACGGCCAAATGCGAATATTATGTAAGGGTACGCCAGTTCTCCGTTCTGCGCGACACCGTCATGTGAATAGGAACTCCGGGCTGCCAATAAATTAGTTGTAAGTAAATTATATGTAATTAAATTATATTTTAATAACAATTTAAATCAATCTGTATTCATTTGTAACTATAAGATCCCAACATTCCTGCTCCCGAGCTACGGATAAATATATTCAAAGGATACACAACTCCTCCCTGAATATCTTATATTTAACTGGTCTTCCCCGACCACGTTACACTACTTATTCATGAACTAGGACGTCTAGACCCCTTAATTACCCATTGCTTGGATAGTTTAAATATTACATTGCAGGCAGGAAGCAATTTGTAAGAATGACTGGGGTATATTCCTATGTAATTGACATCCCATCAGGGCATCAGGTGTCCATCAAATCGGGCACCTAAGTCCTCTATTTTCTCTTTTTATAAATTCGCTGTCCCATCACCTTAGCAGGGCCAAGTTTCTTCTCTTTCATACATTCAATACAAATTTCAGTCTTTCAAGGAGAAACCTCCCTTTTTCATTTTTTATTATTAAATAGACATTTTTTTGAGAATTTTGATATATATTTGATAAAATTGAAGCAAGTAGTTTTTGAGTTATGTAACTTTGTATTTTAAGTATAATAAGTATGGTAATAGTATGGTAAGATTGCGATCGGTGGTGGTATTTAATTGAGGAGCTTAATAATTATAGTATATATAAAAACAATAATTTGAGTAATTTAAGCAATGTTTTATTAATTTATTCAAGTTATACAATTTGGATCATAATGGACTTAACTAATTGTTTTATATCTCATTTATTTAATTTTTAATTTACTATTACTAAGATAAATTTTTGTAATAATAGAAATTTGATATTCACTAAATATATTAAATTATAAATGTATATTATTAAGTTTATAACGCATTGGTTTAACCAAAACTAATTTTTAATACAGCATATAAATTAAACTTAATGCTTCTAAGATAAAATAAAAAATAATTTTTTATTAATCAGTTACAAAACATTATTGTATTTAATAATAAATACTTGTATGAAAAATGTAAAATTTCAATGACAATTAAGATTTTTAATGTTAAAACTTACAAAAATATTAATGATGAATAAACAACTGAACAACTTTATAATAGTTCAATTGTGATATATGTATACATTAAGTGTTCTAATAATATTTGTAATAATTTATATGTATTATAAATTTATTTTGATATGTACCTATAGCAAATTGTGGTTAAATCAAGGTTAGTAAACCTAATTATAACATAGTTATAATGAATGTCTAATTCTTTAAAATACATAAAGCAGAAAAATAAATGTTATTAAATATGAAAAAGTTTTAAAACATTATAATTTATATTTTATATAGACACATGTCTTACAATAAATGGTGTTATCATTCCGAAGAGTATCCCACAACAAATGCCAGTGAGCAGCACAGCAGCTCCAAACATACCTGCAATGCCACTGTACCTTGGTTCAACACAGCTGGAAATAACCATATTTTATTAGTATATAATTATTATACATGTAATACAGATGACAGAACAAGTGGTTGACAACATCTGAAGACAGTATATACTCTTAACATTTGGGGATCTAACATGTGGATACATTTTTGAAAAAAATGAACGGTCTGACCCTGTCTTTATATATTATTAGCTTTATAATACTATAAATTAGGTAATTGAATGTAGTCAATACTCAAAGACAAATATTGTTTCATTTTAAATATAGATATGCAGTA